TTTTTATTTTCGTCTATTCGTAGTAGCTAGTGAATAAACATCATGTAATTATAGTTCTTTACATGAGTGGTAGTCATTAGTATCAATTAGTATTATTTGTTTTATGAAATATTGTTTGTTCGTTTTGATTAAATATAGTTCTAGTATTCGTTTTAAACAATGTTTTAGTTTACTTAGCTTTCAAAGATTAACATATTCTTTATTAAAGTAACATTGTGTTATGAAAATAAAATATAGTTACTGGAGTTGAACTAAGTGAGATTGATTTTTTTCCTGAACATTAGAGCGGGGAACGACTTTCAATATGCCTTTGTTATTGGAATATATAGTACCGAAACCTTCTTTTTGTATTTTCTGTAAACAATTATTATTCTACAATAGAAGAATGAGAATACCATTACCTTTGTGTGATACAGAGAAAACATAATTGCTCCTTACGTTAGGATTACCATTTTATTTAAGCTCTCATGATTTATGAATCTAAGATCATATATTGATCGCATGTCATGCATGTATATTTCTTTTGTTCATTCGCGAGTAATTATAGACTTAACTTTGTTTCTTCTCCTTTTTCTCTGAAAATATTAGTGTTTATTTGTATATTTCTTTTGTATGTCAAACCATGTGAAGCAAATATGGATATCTCTCAAAGCAAACTTGGATCAAAGTTCAATTGTAAAAATATTTGTTTAATTGATTCATGTACGACACATACAATATTCAAAAAAAAGAAATATTTCTCTCATTTAAGTATGTGTAAGGCAGATGTTACTACAATTTCTGGTAGTAGTAATTTAATTGAAGGCTCTGGAAGAGCTACTATAACTCTGCCTAAGGGAACAATACTTATCATAGATAATGCAATGTTCTCCTCCAAGTCCAAAAGGAACTTGTTGAGTTTTAAAGATTTCCGTCGAAATGGATATCATATTGAGACAATAGATGAGAATAATCTTAAATATCTCATCATTACCAAGAATGTCTCTGGCCAAAAGAGGGTTATTGAGAAGTTCCCATCTTTATCTTGTGGCCTGTATTGAACAAGAATTAGTGCAATTGAGGTACATTCTATTGCAAATCAAAAGGTAACTGATTCCAATACTTTTGTACTTTAGCATGATCGATTGGGACACCCTGGATCAATTATGATGAGATGGATTATAGAAAACTCAAACGGGCATCCATTAAAGAATTTAAAGATTCTTTTAAATAATGAATTTTCTTGCACTTCTTGTTATCAAGGCAAGTTAATTATTAGACCATCACCAACAAAGGTTGGGATTGAGTCCCCTGCATTTTTGGAACGTATACAAGGGGACATTTGTGGACCTATTCATCCACCTAGTGGGTCGTTTAGATATTTTACGGTTTTAGTAGATGCATCTTCTAGATGGTCTCATGTGTGCCTATTGTCATCTCGCAACCTCGCGTTTGCAAAATTAGTGGCACAAATAATTCGATTACGGGCGCAATTCCCCGATAATCCAATTAAGTCTATTAGACTTGATAATGCTGCTGAGTTTTCATCCCAAGCATTTAATGATTATTGCTTATCAATTGGGATAAAAGTGGAACATCCTGTAGCTCATGTTCACACTCAAAATGGCCTTGCAGAGTCTTTAATTAAATGTCTGCAATTGATAGCAAGACTGTTACTCATGAAAACGAGGTTTCCCACTTCTGTTTGGGGTCACGCCATTTTGCATGCATCAATGTTAGTTCGTCTCAGACCGACAAATTATCATAAATATTCCCCATTGCAATTAGTTTTGGGTCATGAACCTAATATATCCCATTTAAGAATTTTTGGATGCGCAGTATATGTGCCTGTAGCACCGCCATATCGCACCAAATGGGTCCCCAAAGAAGGTTAGGAATATATGTTGGGTTTGAATCGCCCTCCATTATTTGCTACCTCGAAACATTAATGGGGGATTTATTTGCTGCACGATTTGCAGACTGTAGATTTGATGAGACAGTTTTCCCATAATTAGGGGGAGAAATTGGTGAAACCAAACGGGAAATTTTGTGGAAAAATCCATCATTATCTCATCTTAATCCACGTGCCTCTATTTGTGAAAAAGAGGTGCAAAAGATTATTCATTTGCAAAAAATAGCAAATCAAATGCCAGATGCATTTACGGATCTGAAAAGGATAACAAAATCACATATCCCTGCAGAGAATGCTCCAATCCGTATTGATGTCCCTGTTGGACAATCTTCTAGTGTCATAGCTAATGAGTCAAAAGCACGCCTAAAACGTGGCAGACCATTAGGTTCTAAAGATCGCAATCCTAGAAAAAGAAAAATAAATGATCAAGATGTCACTACGAAAAAGTCTCATGAAGAAATCCACGATTTAACCAATCCTTAGATTCATGAGGGAAATCACTGAGCCCGAGACTCAAGAAAATAAGGAACTATTAATAAATCCAATCGATATTGAGACAAATTTGAATCGATTGGATATAGTGGTGGATTATGTCTTTGCATATAATGTTGCATCTAGCATTATGCAAGATAGTGAGGATCTTGAACCTCAATCTGTTGGAGAATGTCGACAAAGACGTGATTGGACAAAATGGCAAGAAGCAATCCAATCAGAGTTGAATTCACCTGCAAAACGTGAAGTTTTTGGGCCTGTAGTCCAAACACCTAATGGTGTTAAGCCCGTTGGCTATAAATAGGTCTTTGTAAGCAAGAGGAATGAGAAAAATGAGGTACAAAGATATAAGGCACGCCTTATTGCACAAGGATTTTCACAACGGCCTGGTGTCGATTATGAAGAGACATATTCACCCGTTATGGATGCTATAACGTTCCGTTATCTCATTAGTTTTGCTGTCCATGAAAAATTTGATATGCATTTAATGGATGTGGTTACCGCCTACCTTTATGGCTCACTTGATAATGCGGTATACATGAAAACTCCCGATAGATTTAAAATGCCTAACGCACATAATTCAAAGTACCGAGAAATGTTTTCAATCAAATTGCAAAGATCTTTGTATGGTCTAAAGCAATCAGGACGAATGTGGTATAATCGTCTTAGTGAGTATTTATTAAAGGAAGGTTATATAAATGATGCCATTTGTCCATGTGTTTTATAAAGAAAACAACATCGGAATTTGTTGTACTTGCCGTATATGTTGATGACATAAACCTTATCGGAACTCCTATAGAACTCCAAAAGGAAATTGATTATTTAAAGAAGGAATTCGAGATGAAAGATCTCGAAAAGACAAAATTATGTCTTAGTTTGCAAATTGAACATTTGACAAACGAAATTTTTGTTCATCAATCTACCTACATAGAAAAGGTATTGAAACGGTTTTACATGGATGGAGTACATCCATTAAGTACTTCGATGGTTGTTCGATCACTTGATGTGAATAACGATCCATTCCGACGTCAAGAAGAGAATGAAGAGCTACTTGGTTCTGAAGTACCATATCTTAGTGCAATTGGTGCACTAATGTATCTTGTTAATATTACAAGGCCTGACATAACTTTTTCAGTTAATGTCATAGCAAGATATAGCTCTGCTCCCACAAGGAGACATTGGAATGGAATCAAACACATATTGCGGTATCTAAAAGGGACTACCGATATGGGCTTATTTTATGGCAATAATTGCAGTCCCGATCTTGTTGGTTATGCTGATGCTGAGTATTTATCTGACCCACACAAGGCTCGATCTCAAACAGGTTATGTGTTTACCTGTGGAGGCACTGCCATGTCTTGGCGATCGACTAAGCAATCAATTGTGGCTACTTCATCTAATCATGCTGAGATAATCGCTATTCATGAGGCAAGTCGAGAATGTGTGTGGTTGAGGTCTATAATACATCTTATTCGAGACAAGTGGTTTGAAATGTGACAAACTACCCACGATTTTGTATGAAGACAATGCAGCATGCATAGCCCAATTGAAGGGAGGATTCATAAAAGGAGATAGGACAAAACACATTTCACCAAAGTTATTTTTCACACATGATCTATAAAAGAATGGTGATATTAACGTGCAACAAATTCGTTTAAGTGATAATATGGCTGATTTGTTCACAAAATCTCTACCGACGTCAACCTTCAAGAAGCTGGTGCACAAGATTGGGATGCGAAGGCTCAAGGATGTGAAATGATGCTCTCATCAGGGGGAGTTTAATACGCGTTGCACTCTTTTTCCCTTACAAGGTTGTGTCCCACTGGGTTTTCCTTGCAAGGTTCTTAACGAGGCAACCAAAAGGCGTATTGTTAGATATGTGTACTCTTTTTCCTTTACTATATTTTTTTGCCATTGGATTTTATTTTAGTTAAGGTTTTAACGATGCACATTACTTATTGAGTAGGCATTCAAGGGGGAGTGTTATGTATAGAATTGTAATTAGAGTGAATGTCTATCTTTTAGAGAGTTTTACTTTGTGGCTAAGTCATTTTTCCCCTATAAATAGAGGGGTTTTACCCCATTGTAAATCATCCCAAAATTCAATAAGAATTACTCTCTCTTTATCTGCAATATTGTTCTTCTACTTTTATTGTTTTATTACAAATCTAATTTTTTCGCAAACTTTAGAGTGCTAGCGAGACAAAAAATACTACGTAGAAAGTAATTCTTTGCCTTAAAAAGTTATAGCCAGCAGGTATGTATGTGTATATCATTCACATATTGTATACCATAAAAGTATGATGTTTAAACTTTTAATAGACAAATTTATGAATAAGTACACGCGTATAGTTTTTGTACTTAATTTCTACTTCCTCCGTTTACTTTTAGTTGTCCATTATATTAAAAATGTACTTTTACGTTTATTTGTGTATTTTAGCAAATCAAGAAATATACAATATTATTTGTCTGTTTTACCCTTATCATTTAACTACTACATTTTCTATATTATTTTTAAACATTTTTTGAAATGTTATTATTATTATTATGGATAAAATTATAAAACATATATTTATTTATTTTTTCTTAAAGAAGCAAAAAGTCAAAAGTGGAAAATCCAATAATTAAAGACGATTATCACCAGAGAGTAGCCCGAGCCAGCCCCCCGCGAACCATTTTCCTCGTATAGGAGTCGGGTCGGGTTGCGATTGAACAATCACTATCACTACTATCATCATTTCATCACACAAACCTAGGCCTAGTTCTAGAATCCCGAAATTGGACCACTTTTGGAGAAGAAGAAGAATACCAACAACAACAACTCTATAATCATTGAATTAACCATTGATTAACATGAGCGAGGACTCATCATCTTCATCGCAATCCTTCTTCAGGAGACACTGGGAAGGATACAAGGAGTTTTGGGGCGAGCGTTTTTCCTTTTTGGACAACTACTCCAGGTTCATTAAGCGTGACAAGCCACTCCCCTCTTGGTCCGAATCTGATGTCGAAGAGTTCATCGCTTCTGACCCAGTTCATGGACCCACTGTATTTCCCTTTACTTCTACTTCTTCTTCCTTTTTTTTGTGCTTTCGGATCAGCTCGTATGCTTACATTTCATTGGAGTTTGTGGATTTTTACATTTATATTTATGCGTTTACCCATCTGGATTCTCTTTGATTCACCTCTATTGATCCGTATGCTTCTTGCTTTTTCTCTCTTTGCTGAATTTGTGTTTTGATTTTATTATGGATAATCTTCTGTTGATTTGTTTGATTGGTACAAGATGTTTGATTCCATTTGGACACTAGTTGTGCACCTTTTCTGCAATATTACAATTTGGGTGGGTGGTTTTGTGATTGTAACTAATTTGGTTTTATTACATTAAATAACGTTCTTTTTCTTGCAGTCACCTACTAATTTAGCTTGTTTTTATAGTTGATGAATTTATACCTAGAATTCCAGGAGCCAAATACATCGATGGCCCCTTATACTTGACACTATTTTTCATTTAGACACATGAACTGTAGGGTCACATAAGTGCCTATTAAACCTTTGATTCTCACATGGCATACTCCAACCCGAAATTGAGTGCGTACAGAAAAGGCTTTTGCCGGAAAATATAGAGTTTAGCTGGTAAAATGATTTTCCTGTCACTGTCTTCCTAATTTTTAAATAGCCATGGTTTTTCTGCCATTCTCTTCTTTTTATATTATTTTAAAGTGAATCTTCTTCTCTCTCTCAAAAATCACAGCCTACACCGCTGCAAAAACCCAGCACCCTTTTCTCTTGGACACCATCAATCTTGGCCGGTCTCTTTTTGCTGATGCTTCAATTTTGGAAGCTGGGTAAAAGACAAGAAGAGTAGCCCAGCCATGGAAATAGAACATTATCAGGCTCCTTCCATGTTTCCTTATAACTCTTTCGAGCATTTGCAGCTAATAAAGACACTTATACTTGAGAAAAAAGTTACTAAGAAAGATGCTTGCTTGACTTATTGGTGGAGAAACATAAAATTTACCTCTTTCTATCATGTTCAAATATAGTTTTAGGTTGCTGAGGTATAACTACCTCTATTTCATTTTCTTTTCTCTTCTTCAATTCATGCAAACAAAGAGAAGAAGGATTTTGCAACAGTTCTTTGTTTGTCTCCCTTTCCCTCTTCCAAATAGTATGAGAGATGTCAGGGACAGGGAAAATAAGAAAGAGAAGTGGGCAATACAAAGGGAAACTACCACTTCTTAAGATTTCTGTCCGTATGCTTCTTGTGGTTATCCTCAATATATGTTAATTCTCATCTCCTCTCGCAAACCAGCACCAACGAAGGAAAAAGAAGAGAAGTTGTCCCATACCTCAGTTTAGCTGCTTTAGTCCTCGTTCGTCTCTATCCGCTTCTGAGCTACTGGGTGCGGTCTTTAAATTAGTTCTGATGCATTACCACAATTTTTGGAATGACAATTTAACATTTGTTCTCTCTCTCTCTGTCTCTCTGTCTCTCTCTCTGTTTGTGCATGTTAACTGCTCATTGGCCAGTCTGTCACTATGAGCAGGAGGTTAAGGGATATATTGCCAACATCAAATGAAGTTGCATATTTTTGTTGCCTTTCTTCCCTCTGATGATCCTACTGTTTCTTTTTTCTTTCTGTTTGTCAGAAACCATTCCTCTTTCCCTTTAACCAATTCGAGCTGATGTGCTATTTTCCGCTCTTCTTTCCAGCTGAGAACTGCTAGGGAAGCAGCAAAGATCAGTGCTGTAGGAGGCGTAATCGGAGCTGTTTCAACTGCAGGTGTTGCTTGGAAGTACTCCAGGAGTTTGCATGGTATGTTGTACTTGATCCCTACTCCACTCCCACATTGCTGTCATGTTTTTACGAATGCATTGCATAAATATTTATGCACTTAAGTCTTTTAAGAACCAGAGGCTCCAGGAATAAGTTATCTAGGATTCTAACTATTTTCCTAAATGTTTTGGCAAATGTGCTTTTACGAGAAGCTTTGCCACACGATAGTCAAAAATGTCTTTTTCAAAGAGGTTTAAGTATTTTTGTAGTATTGTTTACGTTAGTGTGTTAAGTTTTAATATCAAAATTTAGAGTTAAAAGAATATTTTGACACGATAACTTTTTTTTTTGAAAAGGTAACATATTTGTATTAAGTATAAAATTGGTTACACTAAATCAGAGTAACCATCAGGTAATTAATATGAAAGTACCAGAGGGGAGAACTACATCAGTAAGACTCACAATTGGTCTAAAACATCAAAAATACATTCACTCTCTTCTAGATACTCCTGTTTACACCAAAAATAAAAAAGCATTAAACAACTCATCTTCAACTTTTGTATTGAACTATGGTTGTCCTCGAAGCATCTTTGATTCCTTTCTTTCCATATTGTCCACCATATGCATGCCGGGACAATCTTCCATCTCTCCTTCTGACTGGAATGATCCCCATCTCTTTTCCAACTAGTTGGAACTTCTTTGATTCTGCCTGGCATAACCCACCGGATCCCCCCTCAGGTTGATGAATATCTTCCATAATTGGTCCGTAACTCTGCAGTGTAAAAAGAGATGGTTGACTGTCTCCTCCCGAGCTTCGCATAAGTGACATATGGACCCCAATTGATATCCTCTCTTGAGTAGATTATCTTGTGTCAGAACTGCTTCTCTTGCTAATAGCCAAGTGAAACATGCCACTTTGTATGGAATTTTTACTTTCTAGATCATCTTCCACGGCCAACATCCAATTTGATTATTAGATTGGTTAAACTCTTTATAAGCAGATTTGACAGAAAACTTGCCTTCTTTCCCCCCTTGCCAGAACACCTTATCCTCAGAGCTGGAAGTCCCTTTGAATTGTTCTAAGATGCTATAAAAATCTGTCAGCCTTTGTATTTCCCAGTCGTTTAGGAGTCTTCTGAACGTAAGATTCCACCCTTGACCTGTCCACAGTTATCCAACAAGTGAGCCTTGCTGTTGGTTCAGATTGTAAATGTCTGGAAATAGCTGCTTCAAGGTTCTCTGTCCAAGCCATTTGTCTTCCCAAAAAGAAGTTTTCATACCATTGCCCACTTTGAAGCTGGACCTATTGCTGAATTTTGGCCATAGATTCCTGATGGACCTCCACAGGCTAACCCCATAAGGGCTATTCACAGATTTGGTTGTCCAGTTGCCTTCCTTCCCATACCTTACCTCAATTACATTTTTCCACAAGGAATGTTCTGTTGTGGCAAACCTCCATAGCCACTTCATCATTAGACCATGATTTTGTTTTTTCAGATTCCTAACCCCCATCCCTCCTTCCTTCTTGCTTGTTGTAAGGACATCCCATCTGACCAGATGGATTTTGTTCTTCTCACTGACACCTTGCCGTATGAAGTTTTTTCTCAGGGCATCAAGTCTTTTTGCTACACTTGCAGGCATAGGAAAAAGTGACATCATGTAAGTTGGCATAGCATCCAATACACTATTAACTAGTGTAAGTCTTCCTCCTAGGGATAAATATTGACTCTTCCAGCTAACTAATTTCTTTTCACACTTCTCAACTACATCATTCCAGATCCCTTTAGATTTGCTTTTTGCTCCAAGAGGCATTCCAATATAGACTATTGGCCAGGTTCCTACTCTTCCTCCCAGAATATTCACCAAGCTATGAATCTTCATTACTTCATTAACCGGATAGATGAAGCTCTTATTCCAGTTAATGCGTAATCCAGAAAAAGCTTCAAAAAAGATGAATATCTCTCTCAAAATAAGCACCTGGTCTCTATCAGCATCACAAAACACCAAAGTATCATCTGCATATTGCAGGTGAGTAACCTCTGATCCTGTTGTTAGCTTTGGCAGATTTAAACAGGCTGTTTAAACCTTCCATTGCCGGAATAAATAAAGAAGGGGATATAGGATCCCCCTGCCTCAGACCTCTCTGTGAAGAGAAAAAACCAGCCGGAGAACCATTTATCAGAATTGAGAATTTAACAGTGTTGATGCAAAACTTAATCCACCTGATCCATCTCTCATCAAAGCCCATCTTTATTAATACTCCCAGCAAGAATTCCCAATTCAGATGGTCATAAGCTTTTTCTATGTCTAGCTTACATAGAATGCCAGGTTCCTTGCTCTTCATTCTAACATCAACACACTCGTTTGCAATTAGGATAGCATCTATGATTTGCCTACCTTTGATAAAGGCCATCTGTTGAGTGTAAACCAATTTGCCAATGACTTTTTTGATTCTTTCTGCCATGATCTTTGAAATTATTTTGTAGAAACTTCCTATCAGGCTAATGTGCCTGAAGTCTTTCAGTTCTTTAGCTCCCACCTTCTTTGGAATCAAAGCCACCAAGGTGGCATTGAAGCTCTTTTCAAAGGTCCTATTTGCATGGAAGTTTTGGACAGCAGCAATCACATCTGAGCCTATCACTTCCCAGCATTGAGTATAGAAAGCCATGGTATATCCATCTGGACCCGGGGCTTTGTCCCCTGCACATGCTTTTACACTCTCCCAAATTTCCTGTGGGTCAAAAGGACTCACTAGCATCTGGTTATCTTCTGTATTGATGGTGGGACAGTAACCTAGGCTTTGTCCCCTGCACATGCTTTTACACTCTCCCAAATTTCCTGTGGGTCAAAAGGACTCACTAGCATCTGGTTATCTTCTGTATTGATGGTGGGACAGTCCCTTAGGTTGCATTGTGGACGCCACTCCTCAGTCTCTGTGTATAGATTTTGATAATAAGCAACTATCTCCCTCTTGATATCTTCAGGATTCTCCACAATTTCTCCGTTCACTTGTAAGTTATCAATGTTGTTGTATCTTTTGTGTGCATTGGCAGTTCTGTGGAAGAATTTGGTATTTCTGTCCCCTTCTTTCAACCATACAGCTCTAGACCTTTGCCTCCAAGCTATCTCCTCCTTCCTAGCATTTTCCTCAAAATCTGTCAATAAGGTGTATTTTTTGTGTTTCTCTTCATCATTCAGCATCCTCCATTCTTGGGTTTCCTCCCGTTCAGCTTATTGGCCAAGTATATTCAGTTTCTGCATCTTCAAACTGCCTTGTATTGATTTGCTCCATTCTTTGAGTTTCTCCTTTAGGGCTTTCAATTTGAAAGCTAGAACATAATCTGGCCTACCTTCGCAGAAGAAAGATTCCCACCAGCATTTGACTCTCTCTTTAAAGCCTTCAGTCAACAACCACCAATTTTCGAATTTGAAATAGGATTTAGCTGGTTCCCAGTTCCCACTTTGAAGCAACAGAGGAGAGTGATCTGATGTGACCCTGTGAATTATAGACTGTTTGATTTTCCTAAAACCTACATCCCATTCCTCAGATACTAGAAACCTATCCAATCTAGCAGCAATATTGTGTTCAACCCCTTTCTTCCAAGTGAAACTACCTCCCAACAATTGCAAGTCTACTAGCCCCATATCATTGATGAATTCAGAGAAATCTGCCATTGATCTGGTGAATCTGTTGCAATTCTTCTTTCTCTGACGGGTATCTAACAGTATTGAAATCCCCACACACTACCCAAGGCCCAGTGAATAAACCCCTCGCAGCACCCACCTCCCACCATACTTCTTCTCTTTCCCTTCTATCGTTGGGAGCATAAATACTGGATATATGCCATACAAACTCTTGTGTTTTACCACTGAACTTGATTGTAATGGAATACATCCCCACACTACTGATTTCCCCTTCCCATACCCTACTATCCCACATAATTAGAATACCCCCTCTCGTACCACTTGCTTCTAGTTGAGCAAATTTCACCCACCTATACGCCCACAATGTCTCTAATTCCCCTTCTACTTTTGTCTCTTGAAAACAGTATACTTCTGCCTTCCAGCTGCTCATCATATTTTTTATCAACTCCCTCTTCCTATATCTATTTAGACCCCTAACATTCCAAGAAACAACTTTAATCATCATTTATTATCTAAGGCCATAAAACCCCCCCCCCCCCCCCCCCCCCAGCTCCTTGTGCCATTACTTTTGAATTTGCTCCCGAAGTCTAAGTTTCTTACTTCTTTACTTTCTTTCTTTTTTGGAGTGGCTACTTCCATTGCTGATGATGAAGACTCCAATGCATTGCGCCTCTTGCCATCTATTTTCACAAATAACTGGAAAGCTTCCTTCTCACACCCTTCGAATTCCATCCCAAATTCTTTGCTCAATCTGATAATATTCTGATGCACCCAAATTGGAGCGTTAAACTCCGGTTCCTCCTCTTCTTCATTGATTAGAGAGTTTAAAGGAAGAACATCTTCTATGCCCCAATCCCCCAAGAAATTCCCCTCCCCAATCTGCATGTCTGGATTGTCTTGATCGTCTGTCACTGGTTGTTCCATTTCGTTGATGAGAACCATGGCACTGTCACTGGCTGCCTTGGTCGAAGGTTCTGCCTCTTCAATTCCTTCGTGATTGTCGATAGAGTGTTTCTCTATTTCCACGTCTGTTTTCTTTTCTTTAGTTGAGATGGCTTGGATCTCTATAAGAAATGGCTCTTTAGTTATTTCATAATGCGCTAACTGGTTTGGGCCTTTGCAACATAACTTAAGAGAAGGGTCTGCCTGTCTTGGGCCCAAACTAACAGATTGTTTGGGGCTAGAATTTCAATTGCTGGCCTGGGTATTAGGTCACACGTGATTGGCACACGTGCCCTAATTTTAGAATCCTCCCCTCCCTTCGATGAGCCCACGTGACCTTCCTGATTAGCCGCCAATTTGAACCCCTTTTCCAGTTGGTCTCCACTATTAACCGAAGGATATTGACTTCCTCTATTACCCAATAGACTATTGTCTTCATCTTCTTCGTCCATCGAAAGCGCCGCCACCACCGTCGCCGGTAACTCACACCAGATGGGAATTTTGAACAAATAGCCATCACTTTCTAGAAGTATCTCCCTTGGAACCTTACTCCCATCCCCCGTCACTTTTATTCTAGCCCATCGGAGGTGGTTTTGGAGCATTGTTTCCTCCTCCGTTTCCATCCATCCCCCACACTGATCTCCTATGGTTTTGAGCACTTTTTCCAACCAAAGATTAACCGGCAATCCCAACAGCCTAATCCACACCCAATCCCTCTTCACCTCCTCCGGCCAACAACCGGTGGTAGGGTTCCACCAACCTAGGCTGATTTTGCTTTCTTCCATTGCCACTCTCCATTGAGCACATGCTCTGCTTCTTTCTTTGATGGGAATTCGAAGAGGTATTGAGAGTCATTCATCTCATGTACATTTATGCTGATGGAAGACTTCCAAGTGTTGCATGCCCATTTTCTAATGTCGTTCAAAGGTGGAGTTTCCTTTGGTGATATCAGAACTTTGCCTACTAAGCATCTACTCAAGACATCTTTATCTGTTATCTCTGAACCTCCAGGTATTGTGATTTTGGACCTACTGATTTTGATAGGAGAGGATTTTGTCCCTTCTGATGACCACCTGTTGGTTCTGATTGCTTCTTTAAAAGATAACTCCAGACGGGGGAAGTTACAATCTGGACCTTCTTCTCCTTCTCAGGCACATTTATGAGTCTTAGGATCTTCTAGGCTATGTCACTCCACCCAGCATTTACTGTGATTTCCGGTGTAATAATAACTGACCTGTTATCCCCTTGTACTGCAATAAAACTGATGTACCTACCATATTCATTATATTTAAGGCTGCAATAATATTTTGTGTAGTGATCTTTCATAGACCATCTCCTTATTGCCCTGTTGTGTTCCTTAGAGGCCACCTTAAATACATCTGTCACCCATTTCATCACTTTAATGCTAACAGTTGCTGTCCTCATTAATTTCCTGCTGCGTTCAACCCATTCGAACCATACTTCTGATCTAGTTCTATTTTTTGTGATATCAAAAGATTTGAATCCCGCGTTGTAATATGTCCTGTTGCTGTCCATGTCTTAAGGGGAAAAATATGAGTAAAGAAGGGAATGAAGAAAGGAGTTCCGGTGGATATTGCACCGGAAAAAGCTACTCTACAGACCTAGGAAGTAGGAAAGAGAGCTATCTTGGGTAATGTGCCTGGGAGCATTTTAGTACTTTTTTGAGTTAGTTGTATAGATAGGGCATCTTGTAATTGATCGTTCTTTCCTTTGACACGATAACTTTATGGTAGATATAGTCCTATGTTGGTCAATATCATATGTTTATGTGTTTAACAGGTATAAATAGGTGTGCCTTGTCTTGTACGCATGGTGTCAGAGCCAATTGTTGGCAAGTCTATTGTCATTCTCGTGAGTTTGCATTAAATTTCACATGTGAACTCCAAAATCTGGTTACACGTGCATAAGGGTTGTTGAGTTATATAGAGTCCAAGTCTATTATCATACTCGTAAGTTTGCATTAAATTTCACATTTGAATTCCAAAATATGGTTATACATGCATAAGGGTTGTTCAGTTATATAGAGTCTCATATCGCCTATTGGGTATAAAAGGGAAGCCAGAAGAGTTTAAATGACTTAGTTCAATCCACCTGTCGCCTTAAGTTTTTTGGTTGAATACTCAGGGTCTTTCACAGTAATATGTCAGACATTCAGAACAAGTGCCTAGAAGGACTTGAATGTCAATTCTCTTTAGATCTCATAAATTCTCTGTTGCTATATCACCATAAAACTCTTAAAAGCCCACTATTTTCCCTCTGTTTCAGATATGAATTAAGCCTGAAAGAAGCAATATAATTTCGAACCACTGCTGCATTATCTAGTGAAACTCTACGTGTCCTAATTCACATTAGGCTTCATCCTTGCAGTCCTATCCTTCTTCAGCTTCCGTTCCGTAATCTTCTCTGAGTGTGTGCTTCATAAGAAGACCTATACACGTTATGATTCTCTTTCTCTGTGCGTACTACCTCTGACTGCATACTTGTGAGCTAAAACTGACATGTTGCCATGTTCAAATCTGTTCTTCGGTATTTTACAGTTGAAGTCTGTAAGACTATTTTCCACTGATGTGGCAATTTTTCAATCTTACTTGATTGATTTCTTCTTGCATCTTTGTCCATGTTCAGATGATACACAGTAAGGAAAGATTGGATGCCACTTATTTTCAATTGTGTCCAAAGGTCTGAAAGTAACAAAATCTTACACAAATCGACTGTTACATAATTTCATTTTATAGGAAAATTGTTAAAAGTATGTGACCATCTCATCTAAAAGTTTAAACTTTAGAGAGCACACACTTTTGTTTACTTATTGTATCTTCAACAAAGTTATATCTAGTATTTGGACTATTTTAATCGTTGCCATCCTTCTAGTCTCAAAGTTGATACAGTTCAGGTTCTATACTCAGTGCCTCCTAGTTTGGAATTCAAAACCCCACTTGACGTCTCTGCTACTTTTATTTAAACATATTCCAGATTTCACCATAAGTTCTGTGGAGAACACAGAACAGAATGGTTTTTGGTGTATTAGTTTTTGGTTACAACCAAGATTTACTCATCTTAAACAAAATCATTGCTTACAAGCAAGTTCTCGGAGAGTCGTGGACTGATTAAGATGATCGATTTTGTTGCTTATTGATGTTCTTTTTTGTAGGTACTGCACTGTCTTTTGGAGCTGGAGCTGTCTTTGGCTGGACATTTGGACAGGAAGTTGCCAACCACTGGCTGCAGCTATATAGGCTGGACACCATGGCTGCCCAGGTGAAATTCATGGAATGGTGGCAGAACAAGGTTGAAGGTTGAAGAACAGTCTTAATTGTCGCCTCTCATCCCAGATCAAAGGACAGTTTTAACTTTGGCTTTGGTGTTAAATGTCAATGAACTTCTGTTTTCAGGAATAATAATCAGTCGCTCTGTTCAAATTGTAGCAAGTGACTTGGATTGTTGTATCCAAGTGGTGTTCAACTTTGGAATTGTCTGTTTATCTTTCTCTACTGAATTGTTCTAGTGGAAATGCAACTATTGGCAGTTTTCTTTCAAAAGATGATCAATATGTTTACAAAGTTAGAGTTCCTTTCTTTCCTACTTGGAAATATGCGGAGTCCGGAACCAAAATGTGATTCTTTTTGACTCAAACTACACAAATAGGTGTAAAAAAAAAGTCACCATACTATATATAACGCCAGAAAACCTGGCGCTATACATTAACGGTAACTGCACCGTTCTGGCGCTATACAAAAAAATCTGACACGGCTGATATAGTGCCATAAAAAGTGGCGCTATATGTATATACTCTTTCTTTTTCTTTTTGGTAATTATTAGACATCATTTAACTACAATCATTTAGTTATTGCTCTACTATTTATGAATGTTCATTTAATAAGTTTTCTAATATTTAACATAAAAGTAAATAAGTTGGTAATTATTAGACATATGAAATAACTATGAAATATGTTGTTATAAATAGAATTTTATTTATGGTAAATGTCTATATTTAGAGAGATTCTAGGGTTCATTGCTTGGTGGCTAAGTCACCCTCTCCCTATAAATAGAGGGTTCTATTCTATTGTAATTCATCCCAAATCAATAAGAATTCTCTCTCCCTACTTTTCTCTGCAATATTCTTCTTCTTCTTTTATTGTTTTATAACACGTTATCAGCACGAGACTCTAACCAATTGAGTAGAAGCTTTGGGATTGAGCATAATGATTGTCAATTATTCCATGAACTTCCTTCATGATTAAATTCTGGATTTAAGGTAAGTATTTTACCGTATTTTTCTCTTTTATTCTATACTTTGATTTTAAATACAAGCAAAGACAACAAAGTTTGATTATAACTCTAATGGAGTTTGTAAGAAATTATAACCACCTGAAGTGGTAAAATTTCTATGTCTTGCCATGATCAAAGTCATGTATGATCGTGAGCACAAGAAGTGAAAACCCGTCCCATTGAATTTGCTCCATTCTCATTCCCTTAAGAGAATGTGATAGCAATATGTGATAAGTCTGAAAGAAGACAAAATTATTACCGTGAAGGTATCAATGGATGTGGACGTGGCAATAGACGAAATTATAATCGTTATCATTGTGATAATGAGAATAATAAGGATTCTCAAAATAATCCTTCACTCTGTGAAAAATATTTGTCATCGATTTGACATGAGATTTGTAAAGCACATATAGATGATTATGGTCCATTCATGATGTGAATGTGACAACATCTGATTTATGAATACATATTCATTCTTCAAAGAATATGAACGTGCTAGTGGTAGTGAATATACCGCACTCACCTCTAAAAGGAGGTTTGAGATGATATAAGAAAATAATGTCATTATTATGGCATGAATGGTTATCGGTCACGTACCTATTGTACGCCAAAATATTTTGGCATTGTGATTGTTAAAAGACAACGGTAATGCAAGAAACAGATCTTGCATATAATTTTGACCATAACCATAATGGTGTAACTTTCTCTTTAAAAGAGATATTTACCATATGGGTGTTGATGAATATGTGGTAATACAAAATTAATTGAGAGCTCTAGAAGAGCCAATTATACTATTTTGGAGAAAATTGATTATCAATAAGACGTTGTGTTGTAGTAAGTCTCAAAGAAACTTATTGAGTTTCTAAAGTATTCGCGAAAACGGTTGGTCATACTGAGACTATAAATAAATGAAAGATTTAATATCTTCTATTACTACAACTTGTAGCGGGGTAATATGCATGTGAAAAGCTACCCGCTTTATTCTCCAGTTTATACTACATAAATAAAAGAATACCACAATGAAGTGGATATTATTGATATAAAAACCCATGTCATAATAAACTTGGAGTTTATTCATAATTGCACACACCATGGTGTAAACCTGAAGTTTATCAATATTGATAAATTATCCAGTTGGCATAATTGGTTTAGCCATGTTAATTCAAGTATGATGTGCAAAAGTAAAAGAGAATTCACATGGGTAAATATTAAAGAACTAGAAAGTTCTTTACGAATTCTCTTACATTGCATGTTCTCATTAATTAATAGATCAACTAAAATTGGGATTGAATCCCATGAATGCTGGAAATATCAAAGGTGAATATGGGCCCATTCACCTGCCATGTATACCACATAAGATGCATCTATGAGATGGTTACATGTGCGATTATTATAAACCCGCAACATGGTGTTTGCGAGGTAACTTTCTCAATAATTTGATTTAGAGCATAATTTCCAGATTTTTTATTCAAGATAGTTCATCTTGATAAGTTGGTTTACATCACAGTTGGTTTAGCACAATAATTTATTGAGTGCCTCCACTTGATAGCTAAACTATTGCTTATGAGAACAAAGTTATTTATATCAGTTTGATATAGGTTATATACGAAAGTATATTACATTCTCCCCTCACAAGTGGTTCAGGGTCAGGAACCAAATAATTCCATCTTATTATTATTATTGATGTGCGGTGTATATTTTGATTAACACCATAACGCACAAAGGTGGATTCTCAAAGTTGAGGTAACAAGTTAGTTTTTCTAACATGAGGGGGAGACATGATAAATAGTTGAGAAAAAGTTACGTGGAATGAATTATCATTTGTACATCTAGATCCTCGAATAAGATAATATGAACTTGAAGTTCATAAAAGGATAATTCATTTGCAATATATTGCAAAGCATGCCAGACGCATTTGCTGGCCCAAAGAAAGTAACTATATTCTCATTGCAAATGCTCCTATTAAGTCCTAGAAGGACAAAGTCTATGGTACGCTTGAAGCGTATAGACAAATCGGTTTCAAATAAACTTCTTGATAAAGAAGATGAGCAAATGATCTAAATGATCATAACAAAGGAGGCAAGTGATCTAGAAGATCACATGACATAACACTTCATAAAATCTCATGAGAGATTCAGGTACCTGAATATATGAAGAGATCTCTATGTTATGTCTTTATGAAGAAAAAAGAAGAAGGTTGGAACCGATATAAAATGTTCGTCGACGACATCTATAATAACGTTAAATATATATGAGGATCTTAAGTTTGAAGAAACAATTCAAATAGAATTGGTTTCATATGAAAGCCATGTAGTTTTGAACATGTAGTTCAAACACTTGAAAGTATAAGTCAATGGTATGTGCAATCAGTTTTCGATATCTTATATGTCTAGCATGACATGAAAACTTGATATGCATCTAAAGTCTATTATATGACTTATATGACTTAACAATCCTTGAAGGATTTAAATTGCTTAAAGCATATAGAATTCATGGTCATGAAGTACTACATCCTCAATGCAATTTGTGCACAAATGTATCTTGTTATAACTATATGCATGATAATATGATAGCAAGAGTTTTCACCTCTATGTGAAGATATTGAACTGACGATTACAACAAGATCATATGAAGACAATCCATCTTTATCAAGAATGATGATTTCAAGGTGCAATATATCCATTCAAGTTAATATGGCTGATTTGTTCATCAAATCTCTACCAAAGTTCTTTTGAAGATGGTGCACAAGATTGGAATGCAAATGCTTAAGGATGTGAATTGATGCTCTCATGAGGGGGAGTTAATACGCGTTGTACTCTTTTTCCCTTACAAGGTTTTGTCCCACTGGATTTTCCTTGCAAGGTTTTTAACGAGGCAACCAAAAGGCGTATTGTAGATATGTGTACTCTTTTTCCTTCTCTATAATTTTTTTCCCGCTGGGTTTTATTTTAGTTAAGGTTTTAACGAGGCACATTATCTGTTGAATAGACATTCAAGGGGGAGTGTTATAAATAGAATTTTATTTATGGTGAATGTCTATATTTAGAGAGATTCTAGGGTTCATTGCTTGGTGGCTAAGTCACCCTCTCCCTATAAATAGAGGGTTCTATTCTATTGTAATTCATCCCAAATCAATAAGAATTCTCTCTCCCTACTTTTCTCTGCAATATTCTTCTTCTTCTTTTATTGTTTTATAACAGCTGTCAATTTATTTGCACTTTGAATATATTGTACTACCACAAAATACCACAAGATTAAAATTTGTGTTAGCAAGTAGCAGTTCATGATTATTATCATATATACCAATAATAAAACTAAAATTGCTGCTATTTATTAAAACTAACAAGAAATATTACGGACGTCATGGAAAAAAAGTGTTGTTGTCAACTCCTAAAAAAAAGAAGCTAACACTCTGTTTGGATCACTGTTCCCCATCGTTTTATAATGTATCGTATTGTACTGTATTGTATTGTATCGTATCGTTTTATGAATACAATGTTTGGATAGATTGTATTGTTCGTTGTTGTTCCCCATGTTTTTTTTTTGAAAAAAATGGCATTATAGCCATCAAGTCCTGCAGCCTTATCCTCACCTATAGAGTCCAGCCCTTCTTATATTTCCTTTTCAGTTACTGTTGCACATAGATCAAGCCTCTGCTGTTGAGAGAGGGTTGGTCCTCTCTTCATGTTGAGTCTATTAATTGTTGGTAGTCTCTTATTAGATGAACTCATCAGTGCCTTATAGGACTTCACAGTTTCCTCCTAGATGTCTTTTGGTTCAATGAGCTTTACACTATATGTTGAGGTGATTTCTCTGATGTGTCTTTTCTGATTTCTCTTCTTGACCACAGCAGAGAAGTATTTAGCGTTTGAGTCTCCCAGTTGGATCCATTTGGCCCTTGATTTCTGTTTAATGATACTTTCCTCAATCAAAGACCATTTCTCCAAGTTGTGTAAAGTAGATCTTTCTTGTTCCATCAGATTATCATACCAGTGACAATTTAGTTGTTGTTGGATTGCCACTAAGTCATTTCTTGCTTTATCTAATTTGTATGGTATGGTTTTGAACTCCTCATTATTCAATTGTCTGAGCAATGATTTAAGAGCTTTCAGTTTCATCCATATGTTTCTCATGTTCCAGTTAGGGAATCTCTGTTGCAAGACATTCTCAACTATGGGCAGGAAATTATCATGTTCAACGTAGGCATTGAAAAATCTGAAAGGTACTTTGACTTTATTTTGATTTGCCTCCACAGAAAATAGCATAGGGGCATGGTCTGAGATTAGTGGTACATCATACTCCATCACTACATGGCCCCATTGCATCATCTAGTCATGTTCCAAATGCTCTATCTAGCCTGCTACATATTCTGTCATTGCTCTGCTGTTTGTTTTCCATGTGTAGTACTCCCCTTTCCAGTTAACTTCATTTAGTAACAGGTCATATATACATTCAGTAAAGTCTCTTGTTTCTGCATATTGGACATGATTCCCAAAAAGTCTATCGTGTGGATATAATATTGCATTAAAATCAGCACAGATCAACCATGGCATATTTATACCCTGAGCCAGTTCCTTCAGTGCCTCCCATAAGTTTCTGCTTTGCTCACATGTGTTATAACCATAGATGATAGTTAGAACACATGACACACCAGTTGCTCTCATAGTAACCTGGCAATGTAGCCGTTGTGCTTCCTCTCTCACTTTATCAACAATGTATATGCTAGTATCCCAAAGCATCATAATCCTGCCATTATTAGCACTATGATAATTGTTTTGAAGTCCCCAATTTGGAGCCACAACATTAGCTATAGTATGAACTTTATGCTCTTTCCCTCTAGTTTCAATCAGGCGTGCTACTAGATAATGTCTCAGTTCCTTCTGTTTATACCTCTTATTAGCACCCCTTACATTCCAGAAAAGTCAATTCATAGAGTAAGGTTAAAGTCCACCTCCTCCATCAGGAGGTGCTGAGTGTGATAGCCTCTATGTAACACTTCAAATCCATTATTGGTTGGTACTGAACATAAAATAGGAAAGTCCTGCAAGCTTAGTTCAAGTACATTGTTCACTGCTTTCCCTTTGCTAGGAGTAGTTTCAACATTTTTTACCCCACTTGAAGATGGCATGGTAGTGGGTTGTTTCTCGTGTAGAACCACTGCTCTTTCCTTCTGTAGTTGTCCACCACCCTCTGTATGCTTGTCATTTGTTTCTCTATTCTGGACCATCTCTTGATCTACACTCTGCTCAATATCTTTATTGGTGTCTCTTTGTTGCCCAATAACTTGATCTTTGGTTACCCATATCTGGACAGTTTTCTTTTGTCCACCTTGTTTCTTTGTCTGATCCATTTGATGTGCTTCAGTTCTTCTCTTAACAGTTGTACAAACTTGACCAATTACTTGGCATTTGTCGCAGAATAATTACCTCACTGCTTGTTGGAAAGTTCTCCCATTTGGGTCCATAACTTCTATTTCATCTAACAGAGGTTTTGTCACATTGACCTCTACTAACATTCGTGCAAAGGAAACTCGCGTCTGCTTAGTCGTGCACTCATCTGCATACATAAGGGTACCTATAGCACTGCAATCCTACTCAAAGAGTTGTTCCCCCAATAATTTATTGGTAATTTTGGGAATTTCACTCACAGAGGTATTTTAGTTGGGAATTCTTTATCAAAATCGAAATCTGCTGTCCAAGGCTTCAAAATGATGTGTCGATTATTGATGGTATAAGGGCCAGAATATAGGATTCATGTATGCCATCTGTGGTTTGGAATTTGATGATATAGTATCCTTTATCATGCATGAGCAAATCAGGGCTTGTAATGTTGTTCCATTTCTGGTCAATATAACGTCGCATAGCATTATACCCTGGGCAATCCCCGATTTTACATAAGCAATTAGGGCTCCCCTCCATTTTTCAGTCTCACGTTCCACTTCCTCCTTTTCCAGCCGAATCACTATTTTACCATTAACTATTTGAGGTGCGATATAAGAAAGAGCCATACCATTTTCGACATATCTGTTCTTAGCAAATAGATTCACCCATTGTTGTGCTGGTTGTTGCTGTACTGTTGCAACGAGCTCGGAGCTTTGCTTCAGTACTTTTCCATGAGATGCACCACCTCCTCATCCGTTGTGTTATTATGCGCAATTGTTTCTTCTACGACCTCATTCCGCTTCTCAATTGTCATATCTGGGCTCAATTGACGTTTCTTAGCAGCTCCAGTTGGTTTCGAAGACGGCCCAGCCTCGTTGGGGTTTCTCAATTCACTCAGATGAATTGGTGTAATTAGCTCCATTTCCTCATTTGTAGATTCCGGTTGTATGCGTGCCCCGACAGATCTTCCAAAGGTAACTATGAAAACTTTCTTTGTCCTTCCACCGCGTCCTCTTTGGCGGCCTCGTCCTCGTCCTCGCCCTCCTGCCATGGCTATCCACACCAGTGCAGGTTAACTAACTTGCGCCGAGAGCATGAGAAGAGAGAGAGGGATTGTTCAATGATTTGATTTCATTGGTTCGCTTTGTATAATGTTACCTCACCGATAGTGCAATCTTCTATTAGTTGACTATTTGTTCAATGCCTCATAAACTGAATTCGCATTCGCAATAGTTTAAATAAACTAACGTAAACAAGAATAACTTGGCAGTAACACAAACAAGTTAATTTAATGTTATAACCAATGTATCTTCCACGCTAATCGGAAACAATCTTTGAATAATATTAACAACATCACTTAAGCCAATCCTCCCTGCTTTTGGCTAAATTAGTTCGATCACTTCTTAATGAAATGAATTCTAAAAGGATTCTATTTCATTTCTTTAATATATTCCTTTACCTATTTACTTTTTCACGCAAGTATTTTTATAATTGAAATGGTCGTTGACGCCCACCGTTATAGTATGACAAGAAGCCAACTAAATTTAATTGAGCATGTAGTTGGGTAAATACTAGTTTCATTGTTTGCTTTTTTTAGTCACATCATACCTCTTGAAAATATCAGAAGATTTGTTTTTGTGGCTGATATTAATTATACAATCATTTTTTACAGATCAGTAAAAACTAACACCGGGGATCACTAAATAAGACACGTGATATCTTTGTAGTGTCATTAGAATTTTTAATTCTCAAGGGAGTATTCATTAAAAAAGGATTTCTTCTGTGGCGTTTCTAGTATTTTCAGAAATTTCGGGGACACAAAGCTAAATTTCTAATTCTTGAATTTTGCCTTTTAAAAGTAGACTAGCTCCTTTGATTAGCTAGGTGATCTTGTCTGAAAGATGTCAGGGGAAGAAGAAGAAAATGCCGCTGAGCTCAAAATCGGTGATGGTAAATAATTGCCCTCCTCTATAAATCGGTATCATTGTAATATGAACAGCTTAATTATCTGTAAAATTGAGTTTTAATACTTATATCGTTCTTTTGTTTTCTGTTTCGAAGATTTCTTCTATTTAAATTTGTACATTATGCAATACTCACTTCTGGTTTTAGGTAGCTTACACTGGAATTTGATTGCTTATTGTCGATTTCTTGATGCAGCCCATTAAAAAAAGATTCCCCCCCGCATTCTACTCATAAAAACAGAATGTTTTTCCAATTTTAATCATAAATACAAAGGGAATCGAGTCTTATCAGCAAGCTATTTATTTTTTTCCCTTAATATGGATTATATAGCATTTTAAAATGATTCC